TAAATACGGCAAGCATAAAGAAAAAAATCAGAAAAACTGCATGGAAAAATGATCATTCAACAGTTTAGATGAATTTTAGAAAAAACAAACAAGTGCTCATGACTGACCTTCTTGCAGTCGGCCCAGCCGTTGCAGCCCCATAAACACTGCTCGAGAAATTGGCGAGGAACTACCGGCTCAGGTAATGAGTCGAGAAATCGTAGCAACGCCTCGACCACGGAATGTACACTTCCAGCTAAAGTTATAACTTTGCTTCATTTCCAATTTCTACCCGCAAGCAATTCGTTTTTACGTAGATGCTCAGGAAAACCTGTGTCCAGCGCGTCGCGAATGGCCAGAAATTCGGAATGAGAGCCCGCTTGACCGAACAGATCTTCCTGTGATTATGAAGCATTTATTCTTGATTTGCATAAGGGAAACAAATTGAAATACAAATTCAAATGCATAAGGCACATCACTAAAACACAGTAAATAGTGCAACATCAAACAGCAATAAACAATAAATACTTAACCGATAACGAGGTCAAAACCAGCTGCATCTACTAGAGAGAACGAAACATCAGAGTGAAGATACTACAAATAAACTGAACGATAGACCATGAACGGTCAAGTGATAAACCTATTAATGTAAAAGTAGGGCATAATATAGGTTAGAAAAATTTTTCATAAATTCCACAGTTTTACATCTCACTGGTATTATTCAAGATGACTGGTGAGTGATATATCGAGAATTTTGATAACCATTTTGGGTATCGCTGTCGAGAAGTTATGTCTTTTTGTTTACTTCCAAAGTTTACATAACTGTGGCCGATGGATGCCGCATTGAAAAGAAGACAAAAACATCGCACGCAGGAGACATAAGGTTTTTTGTGCAGAGACCTTTAGTACTGTGTGAAAGGGACAAAAGAAAAACTGCTCATTGAACTACTTCTATCGGAAAAGTCAGCTATCGGATTCAATCAGTTAAACCTGTTATAGGGCTTAAACGATGCTACAGCAAAATTTCAGCAATGAAAATGGCGTGAAATAAGCTGCATCTACGTGCCAAATTCGGCTCATCTGCTTTAAAGGAACGACTCAGAAATGTAAAGCCCTTATTAAAGACGGTGCCTAAAAGCTGAATATGCGATGATGACTTTAAGACACACTAGGATTCAACTGCAATCTTTCAAAATTCTGAAATTTCAAGTTTAAATGATAAATTTCCGAAATCATACAACACTTTACCTTAATTGAAAAGTATGTCACTTAAGAATGGTTCTCGACTTCCACAAAATGACCCAGTATGTTTTTCGACATACTAAAATACTATAATATCATAAAATAAGCTTTTAGGTGATTATTACCAATCTACCAATGGATAACAACGATGATGAGCTAAATCAAAGGTTTGCATTGTATTATACAAGGAGGACTACTGTAGTTAACCAGTATAAATATCAAAATTTACCTATGAAAATAAATTGTTGCTTTTAATGTAAAAACTTAGTTACTGTACGAATAGTAAACAAAGGTGGAAACAGATACGTGCTCAGAAAAGAACTGCTCCTTCTTCGATGCAGTAAATAGTATCTATAGCAAAATGTTGAACGGCTGGGAATATCAAATGTCAGAAGCGCGCGGCCAATGGGAACAGCCCAAGGCGATGATCACAAAGAACACAGCTGGGAGCCAGTTTAAACGAGTCAGCTTCACATTCACTGTGTTCCCCAGTGTTCGACGCTTAGGAAGCGGACGATCAGACGAAAGTTAATTTTTCGTTGTAGCAAAAATGATACTCATCAACTGAAAATTTGCAACAATTTAAACTGTTCTTTATAGCGCAAATTTGTATATTAAAAAGTGGAATCGACGACTGGCTGCATAAGCCTGCATGATTTTTCGTAAAACGAACAGCATTACAAAAAATACATCTTAAAATTCTGAATATGAAATCCGTGCATTACCTAGCATTATTGTATAGATATAAGAATAGTTCCAAACACAGACATACAAGCTACTGACTGCATTATCAGTCCTGTAGAGATAAAGACCAGCCTTTGGCAAACTCTGATGACTGCATTACGTTAAAGACAGAGAAAACTGAAAGATGACGGTGCAGAATACGTGTAAAGCAGCGCATGATGCAAGACAAAAAATACGGCTAAATGTTTAGAAGGTAAATAGCAGAGTTACTTCACTTCGAAGTAGGCTTAACTTTTCCAAACGATGCATATGATTTTTTGATGCCATGAGAGAAGTAGTGCATATTCACGCTCAGTGTTTATACTGAACCATATCACCCGAGAGACCCAAAAAATGTCGTCGCTGGTAAATAACAAGTAAGGGAACAGTAACATATTACAGCCATTCGATATTGAACAAAATAGTGAAAGGAGGAAAAATGCATTACACAAAGACTGCTCAATCAAAGACCCTCTTCGATAGATTTTTCACACAGAAGTGAAGACTGAACAGCTAGTTTACAAATCACTTGAAAATGTTAGGATTCATGTAGAAGCAGATTCAGGAAAACGATGTTGAATATAATGCGAATAAAAGAGAACAGCATATGCACTGGCTGTTCTCATGATCACCATCTTCGGTTGCATGTGGTCGACGTTAGAACGGCTGCGCCAACAAACTGTGACCGCTGGGGAAACAGTCGTAGGTAGATCCAAATTGGTAAGCCTATTTGACTGCCTCGTTCAAGTATTCCGTGGTCTGCTCGCTGGATCGACACAAGGAATATGGTAACAGGATTTCAATACGAATGAACTACCGCTGATAGCTC